TATGTAAAGGTGCAAATTTCCAATGCTGAATGTCATTATATTGTGTACCTAAAAGGTACCAATAAAAGGATATACAGTTTAAAAAAAAAAGAATTCTGACTTCTTGAGTCTTTTATGTGTGCTTAGAAGTTAAAATGAGACCCTCAGCTTATACTAAGTGAACTATTTGTCTTTTTAAAAAATTATGTGTAATACTTACATACCTGCAAACTATAAGGAAAGAAATCCAACAATTCAGAAATAAATATATAGTAAAAAGTAAAAGTTTAATTCCTTTTATAGATCACTACAGTTGTATATTCTAGAATTCATTTCTTTACATTTACATATATGGGTATATGAATGTATATACAATCACACATACACATTTAATTTTTTTAATAAATTTGATTTTACTTTATCCCATTCCCCCCTCAAGCCCTTTCCCTTCCCTGTGTACAAAAACTTTGTTTTCATTTTTTCCATTTTCACTTTTTTTTCTTGTCGCTACCTTCCTTTCTCCCTCCCTCCTCCCTTGTTCCCCTTCCCATTTGAACACTTTCTTCCCATTTCCCAACATCCATTATACACCTCATCCTTATTTCCACATTCAGTTTCTCACAACAGAGAAACAATGTGGTATTTAAACATCTGTCTGATTTATTTCACTTAAGAGTATGGTCTCAAGGTCCATCCACTTAGCCATAAATGCCTGAAGCTTATCCTTCTTTACGGCAGAGTAGTACTCCATTGTGTAAAAAAAACCGTATCTTCTTTATCCACTCATCAGTTGATGGGCATTTGGGCTATTTCCAAGATTTAGCTATTACGGACTGTGCTGCTATAAACATGGGTGTGCATATATCGCTGTGGTATGGTTTTTAATTCTTTCAGGAAGATACCAAGAAGAGGTATGGCTGGGTCAAAAGGAACCTCTGGTCTTAGTTCTTTGAGAAATCTCCACGCTGATTTCCACAGTGGTTGCACCAGTCTACACTCCCACCAGCAGTGGAGAAGGGTTCCTTTTTCCCCACAGCCCCTCCAACATTTGTTATTGATTGATTGTTGATAGCAACCATTCTTTCTGAAGTGAGATGGAATCTCAGCATTGTTTGAATTTATATCTCTTGAATGACTAGTGATGTTGAACATTTTTTGATATATTTATTTGCCGTTTCTGATTCTTTCTCTAAGAAGTGTCTTTATTTCAGATGCCCATTTTACATTGGGTCTTTAAATTTGGGGGGTTTGATTTTTTTTGAGTTCATTATATATTTTAGTTAATAGTCCTTTATCTGAATAGCTGGTAAAAAAAATTTTCCCACTCTGTGGGTTGTCTGTTCACTCTCTTGGTGCTGTGCAAAAGCTTTTTAATAAGATGAGGTCCCAGTTGATTCTTTGTAGTATTTCTTGTGCAGTCTCGGTTTTGTTCATGAAGTCTTTGCCTACTCCTGTGTTCTTAAGCATTCTACCTATTCTCTCTTTCAGCAGATACAGTGTTTCTGTTTTAATATTTAGATCTTTGATCCATTTAGATTTTAGGTTAGTGTGTGGTGAAAGATATGGGTCTAGTTTCAATCTTTGGCATGTGGAAAGCCAGTTTTTCCAGCACCAATTTTTAAAGAGGCTATCTTTCTTCCAGTGAAGGTGTTTGGCTCCTTTGTCAAAGATAAGGTGGTTGAGTGTGTCTGAAGTTGTTTCTGCATCCTCTAGTCTGTTCCATTGATCCTCAGGTCTGTGCTTTTGCCAGTACTATGCTGTTTTTTATCACCATAGCTTTGTAATATAAAGTCAGGGATTGTGATTACCCCAGCTTTGCCTTTGTTGCCCAGAATTGCCTTTGCTATCCTAGTCTCTTCTGGTTCCAAGTGAATTTTATGATTGTTTTTTCTAATTCTGTATGTACATTTAATTCTGTTTTTGACTTCTATATGATATTATCTTAGATTAAACAGTATGAAAACACCAAAATTCAACTATTTTTTAGCCTACAAAAAAGATAATTTGTTTTGATTTAACCTAATACTACATGTCTTGTTCTGTTACTTTTTCTTTTTTCCACACAGTAATAGGTCTTGAGGGTCTTTGTATTTTACTGTGCATAGACCTACCATATGACTGTGTTCTTAAAAGGAGAAAATGCCAGTTTTCTCTTTCCATACTAATACCACTCTTTCTTCCATTTTTCTCTTTCTTTTTAAAGGCTGCAGAAGAAGTTGGATATCCAGTGATGATCAAGGCCTCAGAAGGAGGAGGAGGGAAGGGCATCAGGAAAGTCAACAATGCAGATGATTTTTCTAACCTCTTCAGACAGGTAGAGTGTAAATTTTTTGTTCATTTCAACCAACATGTATATCAGAGATGCATGGTTTAAATCATACTATAATTTGTATAATTTAGATGCCCAGAAAATAATTTTGTGCATACTTAATGTAGTCTTTCTGGGCTTCACTTATTAACAGGGAAAAAAAGTAATTAAAGTTTTATTCAATTAGATAATTCAGACACCGTAGTTGTTCTTGTATAGGAAGATAGCTCTTCCATATACAGTACATGTTGCTCACCATATTTCATAATGGCAAGGAAGAATCTATGTCTTTTATAATTTTTTTTGCCTTGTTTTGCTGACATGGTAGATAAAGTATGTGATATGGTAGTATGAAATTGGTCCAGTTGTTCTTAGTCTGGCCAGACCCAGGTTCTCTGATTGACCTTTTCTTATTTCATTTCAAAATGGCTCTGAGTTCCTGAGTTTCTACCATGTGTCCCAACCAAGTTGCTGGCCCAAGAGTTTGCATCCTAGCCTGTGCTGTGTAGCTACCATATCCTTGCAGAGGTACCTGATGGCAGGCCCATATTTTGTAAGAACTGAGAATATATAAGAAAAGCTTCTCCCAGCCTCTTTTTGCCTTACCTTTTGCTTTGTAGCCAAGTTGACGTGGTTGTGCCATGCTTTGGTTATTGAGGCAACCAAAGAAGTGATATCTTTAGAATCTTAGAGAAAAGGAAAACAAGAGTCTCTTTTACACTGCTTAGATTTACCTTCACATACTTGACTCACTTTCTTTTCTCCTACTAACAAGGAAAAAAATATGTCAGAAAAAAGAAAATTAGCCAGGAATGATGGTATCTGCTTGTAATCCAAGCTACTTGGGAAACTGAGGCAGGAGGATTGCAAGTTTGAGGCCACTGTGGGCACCGTAGTGGGACCATGTCTCAAAATAAGAAATGGCTGGGTATGCAGCTCAGTGTTGGAGTGTTTGCCTAGCATGTGAGAGGATTTAGGTTCAATCCTCTGTAGTGCCTAAATAAATGGAAAATTGGGACACAAGTTTTACCTTTTTTCTCTTAGTTTTTCTAGCATCTACTTTGTGCCGTGTTGTGTCCCTAACCGCCTTTTATTTGCTCCCTTCACCCTTGTTAGTTTTCTTTTAATTGTGTATTCTTTTTGTGGTGGTTGGGATTGAACCAGGGGTAGGCAAATGCTCTGCTGCTGAACCTACATCCCCTTTACCCTTTTTAAACCATTCAACAGTGAATTTCTTGCTTCACTATCAAGGGCTGATGAGGTGGGTCTTCTACAATTTAATAAACTAGATAAAAAAAAGTGACAAAAGTATTGTTTTACTGCAGTACCTATTTTGAATGTCAGAAGTTGAATATTACCTCATTTTTTTACATTACATTTGTGAATTTTAATTTTATAGGTAGATCAGTGCTTCATAGCCCAGAGAAAAGTCCTTTAGTCTTAGAAGCAAAAGAAAAAGCATGCTAATTAATAATAACTTCAATAGGCATTTAAAAACTACTTATTAGTGTGGAATCAAATAGTTGAAGAATCTAGAGTACTTCTATGTGAAAGTTCTTTAAGTTCCACAAATGGTTAGCTACATAATTCAAAACTGATCCTCCCATTGTGAATAAACTAAAAAAACCAGAATAGGTGTTTTGTTGTTTTATTTTTTAAGTCTGTCTTAATGTGTTATAGGCCTTTTAAGATAGCGAAGAATTATAGAAGAAACAGAACCCGAGAGAAGTCAGCCTGGAGTTTGAGGCCACTTTTTCTACAGAGATATCTTCTAGTTCAGTAGCTGAAAAGCTGATCAGCTTTTAATAGTCTTCCAAGATTAGAAGGACAAAGTTTAGACTTTAGACCTGCTGAAGTGTGAACCCTGGGAAAACTACCATAGTTTAGGTTGAGATTCTAAAGGATTATATTACAGGAGAAATGACGAATTGAAAAATAGACCAGGTCTCACAGGAGCTAAATTTCAGATTGAAAGCTCTCAACCTTTAGTTCAAGCAACATGCTTTAGGATTATTAGTGCCCCTAGCCACCTGCAGAAAACAAATTTAAATCTTCTCCAGAGAAATATATCTAGAATATCAAGTTATTTCTATTATTTTTTTGTGTGGTATATTAACCACTCAATTAAAGATCAACAGGCATATAAAATTATATGATTGAAAACCAAGAAGAACACAGTCAGTAAAAACAGATCCACACATTCTTTAGCCCTGTCAGCCAGGGGCTTTAAAGTAACTATGCTTACTTTGTTCAAGGAAATTAAAGACAACATTGAGAATTTTTTCAGAGAACTGGAAACCATAAAGAGGAACTGAAAATGCAAGGACTAAAACTGAGAAGTCAGTGTAGTAGTTCAGTAGCATATTCTAGATGCAGCTTAAGAGAGAATTTGTCACTGGAAAATAGTTCAGAAGAACATTCAGGCTGAAATATGAAGAGAGCCAAAAGGGAAAAAAAGTATAGAAAAGAGCGATGTAGGATATTACTTGCAAAGATGACTGTAATAACTAATCACTAGTACCTTTCCTTGTACAGTAGGGTATTGCTTATCTTCCCATCAAGAAGTATAGTCTTCTTTTCTACCCTTTGAAATTCAGCTGGTCTTGTATCTTGTTTTGATCAGTAGAATGTGATCAAGATGATGTAAAGTTCTGAAGCCTACACTTCAAGTGGTCTTGTAGTTTCTGTTCTTGCTCTCTTGGGAAAATTTCTCAGAATACCATGTGAAGAGCTCATTCTAACCTACAAAGAGAGGCCACATGAAGTGGAAATTAGTTGTCCCAGATAATACCCCCTAGTTCTACAAGCTGACTGTCAACGCTACATTTGACTCATATTAGAGTACCCAACCTTAGTTGAACTGCCAGATAGCCAGATGACTAAAATTGCATGAGTGACACAATAAGCAGCAAAGTCCAGATCAAAAAACAAATCCACAGAATTGTGAGCAGAGAAATGGTTCCTGTCCCATGTCATTAAAATTTTGAAAATTTGTTAGATATTGATAGATAGCTTACATAGGAATTGATAGCTAAAGATAGGACACTGCCGTAGTGAAAAGCATTGCCTTTGAAATTGGCTCATAGGGAGAAGATAGAAAAATGATGAGGATATTAAAAAAGATTGGAGAAATGGTGAACAAACTTATTGGAGGCTGGAAAAAAGATAAACCCATGTTTTATAGTTGTGGAAGAGTTGGCAGAAAGCATTGTCTGAGGTAACTTGAAAGAGAGAATATATTGAGTGAAGTCATAAATTGGGTTATGGAGATCTCTAGACAGTGTTAAAAGTGAGTACTTCTATTTGGGTATGCCAAGGAACTGTAAAAGAAAGCTGAACATCATCACAAGATGGGGTTTTGTTTGCAAACAGAATTTAATGAAAATACTGTTAAAAGTGCACAGAATTTGTTGGGTTTGAAAATGAGTGTTTCTTGTCTCCAGTCTCTAGCTGCCAAAAGATTTGCCAAGTAAAAAATGCCTCAGTAAGGATCAAGTCAAGAGTGCCTGTGACTTTATATTCTCAGAAATATTTGAGGCAGAATTTAAGTAATTTGTTAGATTATCCTCTCAACCAAAAAGTAAACCAAGAAGCAATAAACATGCTTCATAATATTCAGGGCATTATTCCACAGCAGCCTCACTTGGGCAAAGTATAGAGAGGTCTGTGTAGAAATGAGTTATGGATGTAATGTAGCTTTTGAGGTAAGCAGGGAACTCTATTAAGATCCATAGAAAACCCACAAAGTTGTTGAGAGACTTGTATTGATGAATACACCAAAGGAACTAAAAGGGGCAGAAACAGTCAAGATGAAAATAGGCCTTTGGGCCTTCAAGTTTTTATGGTTAAGAAGTAGACTGAGAAAACAGTTCAGCTGTTCTCATTGGTTATTTCTAATGAAAGAGTTATTTGTAATGAATTGGTTATTTCTAATGAATTTCTTGCTGGAGAGGGCAGAGGGGTTTCATGTATTAAGGATGCACTTCCAGGGACAGAAACATTTAAAAAAACAAAATCTGTATCCCTGGATTAAGGGAACCTGACAACATATACCCATCTGGATTTTAAACTTGCTGTGAACCGTTGCCTGCTGTGTACCTCCCATCCTCTCCTCTTTGAGTAGGAGTGTCTTTTGAAGTTCTTTCTCCCAATCTCATCATTAAATATTGAGGGTGTCGGGGCAGATAACTTGTCTTTTTAGTTCCCAGGTCTTTGGATCAGGAGAAAGTACCTGAGGAGCTGCACCCAAGGAACCTTATTTACTTCTGGACATGGCTCATGAGAAAAGTGGACGTCAAGCCTGATGCCATCATTGGATGTGACTTTAGGGGTCTTGGGAGGGGGTGAGTCTGTTTGCATGTGGGAGGTATATGAATTATTGTGGCCACAGGGTGGACCATAGCAGATTGTTTTTATAGATGGCCACAATAACTCCTCCCATTCCTGTATGTACACCTTTTGCAATGTGACTTTGCTGTTCCTCCCATTGAGAGGTGGCATCTCTTTCCCCACTCCTTCAATCATAGTTGGCCTTACAGCTTGCTCAGACCATTAAAAGTTGGCCAAAAGAAAAAGGTGGCCAAAGTATTGTATAAGTTCTAAAGCCTAGACCTCAAGAGGCCTTGCAGCTTCTGCCTGAAGCTCTAGGAACACTGTCCTGAAGAAGCCTGGTTTATCCTGCTGGATGATAAGAGGCCATATGGAATAGAACTGAGCATGTTCCAGTTCAGGCTCCCTCAACTTACAAGCCAACAGCCAACACAAATCATGAGATTGTGAGTGAGGCCACTCAGCCACACTCCAGCCACCAGATGATTATATGCACATGATTTCAAGACCAGAAGAATGATACAGATAAACACAGCATCGTGAGCAAATGGAAGGTTGATGTTTTAAGCAAGCCATTGAGTTTTGAAATGCCTTATGTAGCAAAACAGAGCAAAAAAGATACAGAACATAAAAGACATTTGTGGTCCAGTGAAATAAGCTAATGTCATGTACTTTAAATCTCAGAGAAGAGAAAGGAGCAGAAGCAATATTTGAAGAAATAATCAAACAGAAAGCGATATGCAAAGAGATAATGGCTAGGAATTTCCTTGAATTGATTCAAAAAGCACTATGAGGCCCAAGCAGGACAAATAAAAAGAAAACTACATCTCTAAGCCTCTCAGAGCACATCTGTCACCTGCCCCCGAAAAAACAGTCTTAAAGCAGCTGGAAAAAAAATATTTCTTTCAAAGGAATAACAAGATTGACAGTTGAGATCTCAGAAAAGTGGAAACCAGAAAACATTGGGATATTTTTAAAGTGCTGAAAAAAAATCATCAGTGTAGGATTCTGTACCCACTGACAATATTTTTCAAAACTGAAGATAGAAGTCCTTTACAGCAAGATTGTATATGATGTAATGTGAACCAGGAAAGCATCTAGTTTGGAACACATTGTACATTTGGCAGTATGGAGTAGATGGCAATATTTTGCCTTCTTGTGGGGTGTGTGTGTGTTTTTAAATATTTTGTTGTTCACCCTTTAACACATTGGATGCTTTTTGTTTTAATATTTGTTAATTTTGGTTATAAAACTAAGAATGCAGCATCTTAAAGATAGACGAGGGCATGGGCTATATTGTATTCATTTTATATTCCTACTGATTAAAATAGTCCCTGACACTTTTAAGCATTTGCTTGTTGAAATCAAAGCAGCTTGTCAGGATAGGAAAAGTATTCACCACCTAAGAATTTATTTCCTTTTCTAACATAGGTTCAAACTGAAGTCCCTGGATCTCCTATATTTGTGATGAGACTAGCCAAACAGTCTCGTCATCTAGAGGTACAGATCCTAGCAGATCAGTATGGCAATGCCATCTCTTTGTTTGGGCGGGACTGCTCTGTACAACGTAGGCATCAGAAGATTATTGAAGAAGCACCTGCTGCTATTGCTACTCCAGCAGTATTTGAACACATGGAACAGGTGTGTCTATTAAATGCTCTAATTTCTGTTTTCTTACTTGAAGTCACATTTCTTATTCAATTCATGTACTAATATGAGAATAGTGGAATTTCAAGGTATGATTATGGATAATTGATAACATTTTGTCCTTAGAGGAAAAAAAATCCTGCTCTTCTCTTGGTAGGAAAATTGTCAAGGAACATTTCAAGCTCTGAATGTATGCAATACTGTAAAAAAAATCAATTTTGAGTAGAATTAAACAAGAGAAACATATTGAGATTTTTTAATCTTATTTGTTGTTGTTCTTAACAAGTGCATGATAAACAAGTAGTTCCATTTTCTGGATTATCATATCTTCAGATAAATTTATTCAAATCCATTATCACCTTTAAAAAGTCTTCTAGGGCTGGGAATTTAGCTCATTGGTTCTGCCGCCTGCCTTACAAGCAGAAAGTCCTGAGTTCGATCTCCGGTACCAAAAAAAAAAAAAGTCTTTTAAGTATCTTTAAAGTTCACATAT